CTCTATCGTTATCTCTTAAAAATAAAAATTATCTAAAAAAAAAAAAAAGAAAAGAAAAGATATTCTATACTTTAATGTGAAAGATTTTAACTTTTTACTATTCGATTGTTTTTTTTAACGAATTATACATCTTGCAATTTACTTTTCCAGGATATTAACGAGAATATTAAAATATTAAGAAATTTCCTTTTTGAATGAGACATAATAAAATAACTTTTACTCTCATTTTAATTACGAGAAGAACGAATAAGGAAATACGTACACTACATACGTATTCAAGAAAGAATTACGCTTAAGTTTGCCAATCAAAGCAAACAAAATTCGTTAAAGGATTAAAATGTAAAACACGATCACAGAAGTACCAATTCCGTACGGCGCATAGATAATTTAATCAATATATTCATATTTTTATGATCGATACATGTCATCCGCGGATCCATCCATGTATTTTCGTATTATTTAGTTATTTGTTGAAAATATAGAATCATATTGCTCGGCACGCGATATTGAAATAAAATAAAGGGGGCCGAACCCGAGGTTACAGCAAATCGTGTACAATCGATAGCTCTATACGTAGCTCAAAATAACTGGAGGATCAGCTTCTCAAACAGCTTTATCGCTCATTCAGGTGTCCAATATTTCAGAAGCCCCCAATACATCATCAAACTTAAACTCATTGTATAAAACAAACGTAAATCAGACAACGATTCTTTAAATTTTCATATATTTTAAGAGCATGTGAAGAAATATTAAAAAAAAAAAAGAATAAAAAAATAACTCCAACATGAAAATCATTAAGCTTTATATCAAATCTTAAGGCAGAAGATATTATCAATTTAAAAGACAGGCGGATCTCATCATCTACCCCTATTCTTTCAGGTGCTATTCAGCAGCCCTGTCTATTCAGGAAGAATGTGATCGACAAAATAGAACATGGTGAAGTGATTTTAAAAGAAGCATACTTAAGTTGCTGTACATTTAACATACTTAACTATTGACGTAAAATTGTTCAAAAGTTATTTGTATGTTGCAAGATATTTTTAAAATTAAGTTTACGGTTGGATCTATTAACACATCTTTTGCTTGAAAATTTTGTAAAATTCTTTTATCCAAAGGCAAGCAGAATTTTCGAAAATTAATTTTAGAATTTCTTTTTCTTCAGTGTTAACTTTCGAGCATAAATTTATTAAGATCACGAAAAAATAATTAAATTTTCCAAGTTCTCTAATAAAAATACTGAATGAGAAATAATAATAAGAACAAGTAACAACATTTCACTTCCAATTTTTCCCTAATATTTTATATTTTATATTTTATATAACTAAATTTTACATGTTTCTCGTTACTCTTATTTTATAAATAGAAATATTTTTTAAAATATTGAAATATATCGACGAAATATATTATTTTTTGATAATAAAAAAAATTAATGATTATAAAAAAACGAACGTTAGAAAATGACTATCGTTTAAAATCGTCTTAAAAAAAATAAACAATAAAATCAAATTTCTAACGATTCACGGCATATAAACCTTTCAACTCAACACCTGGCTGTTTCCCCGACGTTAAAATCATGCCACGTAAAGCCTCTTTTCTTTCCCAGGAAACAGAGCCAGTGTTCGTGTTAATTCTCACGCGGTGCAATCCTGGAACCGCCTAATCCCACAAAAGATCGACCCACTTAGCCGAGCGATGCATGAATCGTTCTCATGGTGCAGACCCAATTTATCACATTTCGTGAAAATTAGTGTGTGACCTGATATCGAATTAACTGTACTTCATCGAAGACACAATAACTTCGAATGGCCTATATTCGGTGAACGCCAGTTCCGGTCTCGTATGGAAAGCAATAGTACATGTCGTTGACCGACACAGATCTTTCATCTATACTCGTCATGGCTGACGATAAAAGAGCATCCTTTAAAAGACAGGCATAATATTCGTTCGATAAAGAACATGGTAGGAACAGAAGGAATAAAGGGGATAGAAAAATGTCCTATTGGCTCGTACGTGGCTCGATTCTTTTATTGTTCCTCGAGTCGATAATTTCCTCGATCCTCCTGAACCTGAAGAGGAAGGCATCAATCGACAACCAAGGAGGGACCGATCGAGAACGATGAACAAATCCTTCTAATAATGGAAAATGTCATTCCGATCAATAAGTCTCTCAACTATTTTAACAGCGATTAAATTCTTTGTTGAATAAATTATTGGAAAAAAAGATAAAAAGTCAATCGATTTGGTTGGATTTTGAAAGAGTTCTCACAATATATTGCGTTTGCAAATGCTTTTATATATTTTGAATATATAAAATAATTCGAGAATAGATAAAATTAATTGGCCTATTCGTTATTTGTCTATTAAGAGACAATGCAACGTTTAATTTATAAAATTTTTTACAAAATATCAATTATTATCTATTAATGTATTTTAATATTATAATTAAAGGAAGTTCCAAGAATTTGTTTACTCCCTTGTTTTCATTTAATATAATGGTAATCATTTATAAACAATCGATCGATATGATATCTACCGAAAATTTGAATAAATATCTTTTATTTAGTTGTTTATCTGTTCCGTATATTCGAGAAATCTTTTTCTTTTCTTTTTTTAAATATTTTAGGAATTGAAAATTTGTATTGATAATACTACAATTTAATTAATTTATTATCAATAATATAAAAATTTTAGGAATTTCAATCGATCATCGAAAAAAAAAAAAGACAATTATATTCTGTCTTTTTACAAAGAAACAATTTTAAAGTTCAATTGAATAAAATTCAATTGGCTGTCAATCAAAAAGAAGTTAATGAAGAATTAATGAATTAATGAAGAAAGCCTATGACATAGAAAAATGAGCAACAAAGTTGCTTTGAATTTCGTTTTTGAGAATCTGTTGAAGATCGAATATGGCGCAAAACTGGCAGAACATTTTATTTGGCTGAAAGTCCAACTCTCGACTTTCATTGCGAACAAAAGAATTCATTTTACAGCGTGTACAATACCGTCGCTTATTATACACTTCAGTATTGTTCGAAAAAAATTTTTTCTGCTTTTTTTTCTTTTTTTTTTTTTTCGATTCATTATTCAACCGTTTCGGTTAAAAATGCTGTTGACTTGATTTATACCATTAAATATTCCTATCATTTCCTATTAATACTTGTATATTATTCGAATTGATTAATGAATTAAATAAATTAATGAAATAAATCGAATATTTTAATTAATATTGAAACTATGAAGGACATACATTTGAAATTAAAAATTAGATATATAGAATTATATATATATAATAAATCGATTAAAAAAATTGAATCAAGATGAAATAAGATTAATCGAATAGTTTAAAAAAAAAGAAAAAACAAAACGTCTAATGAATTTTAATCAGTTATGTAAACTATTTTAACAATAGGCCTCATTAGTGAAAGTTTATGATAGAAATCATTTAATAATGTATCTTTCAAAAAAACCCGCTTATATAGTCATTTTAATATAACAAATTAATCTTTTAATCATTAATTTATTCTAAAACATATATTTATTCTAAAACATAAATTAATATTTATCATGAACACAATTTAGAATATATGACAATATGATAAGCATATTTCTATATTATGTCTATACAATATATAAAATATGATAAGAAATGATATAAAAAATTTAATTTTACATGTAATAAATATGAAGAAATGAATTATTGAAAACTAATGGCTTATATCAGATAATATATATATCAAATATAATTTAAAATATAAAATATTTTGTATCAAATCAAAAATTATTTTTCATATATTCTTTCAATATTATTTTTTTACGTTTAAATTACAGAAAGAAGAAAATAATTGTTAAGAAGAGTTGTTCAGATCCGAGAAAAAAATATTCAATGAAGCACAACTAACATTAAATTACAAATTGCCAAGTATTTAATGGCAAGAAGAGAAGAAGAATAGAAGAAGAAAAGGCAAAACGAAGCATCCGCGACTTTACGGATTACATTCCTTCTACTTAGTGTGTTGCGTGTAAAGTAATGAAGTTCCTTGTATATATATGCGGGTGGTGAGAGACAAGCATAAGGTAAACATAAAAATGCCGAAGTGGAACGGTAAGTAAATCTAGCGAACAGCGAGAAAGGAAAGGCTTCCCTCTTGGGAAACAACTTCGAGACGAGAGTAAAAAAACATTTCAACGCGCCTTTCGAGCTATGAATCTTTGCATCGTCGTTAGAAAGTAAACGAAACGTTATTTTCTATCTTTATGAATTGAATTGATATTAAAATTGAATTGATAATAAAATGAAAAGGAAAAGAATTGATTAGGATCAAAACTGATATTACATCAATTGCAGAATCTTATATCGACATTACTTTTTTCATCAAAATTGCATCTTGTTGTGAAGAATATATTGCGTTATAAGATAATATAAATTTTTTGTATATAATTATAATAATAATATTTGAAATTACTTTAAAAAGAAAAATTTATAATAATGATATAAAGCAATTGATTATCATTATTATGGTCGATATTATTATATTATTATATCGACATTATTATAGTTGATTATAAGTAAAAAAAAAAGTACTATCTTAACAATAATTTATCCATAAGCTATATTATTATAATACTCGACTAATATTTCATAATTTATCTAACTCAAATGTGCAACGAACGTCCAAATTGAAGTTCTGTTAATAGTTCATTTCGTTTAAATCTACTTCTCTTTATTCAATCTCTTTGTACGCGCATTATTACACTTTCGATTCAACTCTTTTATTGACAATTGTCCACATATACACGTGTTTCATTCGAAGCTGTGGATAGAATCTGCTTGTTGATCAACCATATGAAAAAGAAAATAATCGAAAAAACGAAGAAAAAAAAGCATCTAAAAAATTCACGTCTGTCGAAACGATAAAAATCAAATTTTCTATCATAATCCTGAACCACAAAACCGCAAAATGATTAAAAACAGAATAATAATAAAAAAAATCACTCACCATTCCTGGATACATCCAGTTCCACGAGATTTTCGAAATTCTGAATATCTGGAGGCAAACGGTGAATTTCATTGTCACTCAAACCGAGTTTTCGTAACTTCTGTAGCCGAAAAAAATTCTGAAATGAAAAAAAATGAGTATTTGTAATAAGTGTTTATAAAAGAAAAAAGCAATAATTAGAATAAAAATATTATCAGCTATGTCGTTCTTAGTTACATTATAGGTGATGGAATGATACGTCATGAACACAATAGCAATAGGAAAAGAGAGATACAGAGAGAGAGAGAGAGAGAGAGAGAGGGGGGGGCGGTAGACAGAAGGGGGAGAGAGAGAGAGAGAGGAATGATATAGGAGGGAGGGGCAGAGAAAGAAAAAGATATACGGTTATAAGACAGAAAGTTGGCATGTAGCAGTATTTGTTTACCTTCGGTAGATCACGAATATGATTCGCGTCTAGTAGGAGCTCCTCCAAACTTCTCGAGTATCGTAAAATATCATCGGGGACGCACGGCAGAGAGCAATGACGCTTGTCAATGTATTCCACCTGCCTGTTACATCCTTTAAAAATTGGAATGCAGCGGAACATGGTATTATGGCGGCTTGCGCGTGTTCGTAAATAGCGCTCTTTTCTAGTGTCTTTGTACTCTCAAAATAATATGATTAGCCGCCCATAAGCAGAGGTTAATAATATATATACACTATCACATGACAAAAAAAAGATAATAAAAATTTATTAAAAATAATGTTAATAATTATAACAATGATATTGCAACACCCGATTTCAAACGTGACTACTCTTTTCTAGGACTCTCTAAAATCTGAGCGTCTCCTCTAGCACACAGGATATATCTCTTTTCTAAGATTGGCAAACTCGTTAGCGTACAGTTTCTCACATCAGCGCTATCTAGCGGAAGTTACTAGCTAGTAATTTCTATATGGAAACTGCCACAGTACCCCCCTCCACTCAAATATTTTAAGTTATTAAACCGCGAAATTAATTCTCTTTTTAACTACATATATATTTATTATTGGATATTAGATATTTGTTATTATTCTGGACAGATTATTTTTTTGTTTTAATTTTTGCGACTGTAACTGTTAGAATTTATTCTAACAGTAAATTCTAAATGTTATTTCTTTTAAGAAGATATTTCATATATATATTTCATATATTTTCTTTTGATTTAATTTTTTTATAAATTTCGTTTATTTTTTCAATTATTGATCGTACAACTGCACTAAATTCTACACTCATCACAGCAATGGACCACTATACCAATTGTTTAAATATTTTATAACACATGCACAGTCGCATTTCTAACCAGCCTACAATAGACTACACAACTACTTCAATACAAACACGCTTGCCGCAAATTAATTTAAGTTAGTTACACATTCATCATATTTCAAAAAAATAATAAAACACTGATTTTTTTTTTGTTTTACATTTTACTGTTAATTTTATATTGTATTAACATTTTTAAGAAAAGAATTAAACCCGATAATTGAAATATCGTTAATTATGATTAAGGATGTACTGTGACGGCCCTTCTACACTCGCCACCAGAGGGATTTACACTGAAACACAATTCTCGCACACATGCCTAACTATTTTTCTTTATAAATATATCCCTTAATCTGGCTTCTACATCCCAAAGTTTAAGACACGGGCCTGCTAGATAGCCTTATTGATGATGAGTCCACTAGCAGGCCCAAAACGAAATGCACTTTCTCCTTTTCTTTTTCCTTCTACTATCTTTTTTCTTCCTTCCATTACACCACAATATTTTTTTCACCACTAAATCACATTAAAACAATACCGAATTGATCGAATATAAATTATCGCATTGCTTTTTACATTATACGCTATTATTTACACATATTGATAAATAAAATAACTTAAAAAAATTTACAAGAAAGAAAAATAAATGAAATACATGTCAGATACACTTTCAGATTCGACTTTAGACACCCTTACGGATCGTGGCTCGAAATCAACAGCGAATCAGTGAACGAACACACGACGCTTTGAAAAGACAATTCCCCCTCCATATTTCTCGACATAGACTTACTGCATATATAGAAGAGAAACTCTAAATTTAATAATAATAAACATCTGAAAAATAAATAATTTATGAAATGAAAAAGATATTATTTTAAAAAAATAATGCAATAAAATATTTTATATATTAGAATTTATAAAATACTTTTTATTCTACTTTTTATACTATTGTATTATATTTATTTTTATACTATTTGTAAAAGTTAATTATTACAAAAAAGACTGTTTTTTATAACTTCTTACTAAATATTTTTTAAACTCATATAATATAATATAATATATATGCTACTAATATTATACATTCTATTATTCATTATTATATTACTAGTATTATATATTCTATTCTTTTATTGTGTTAACTATCAATATAATTATTTGTTTAATAAATATAATAAATATAATTGTTTAATAAAAAATATTAAAAATTATATTTGAATAAATATTTAGAAAAAGTGTATATTAATTTTTATTAAAATTCAATTAAAAATTTAGTTTTAATATTTTTTTATTTTTATAAAATTAATTTTCTATGAACACAAAGAAAAAAAAAGAGAATCAAAATTATATTTTTAAAACAATTAAAATAAAAATATATATATATAAATATATATAATTCTAAATATTAGTTTTTCAAAATAAAATATTTAGTAATTATATGATAAAAAAAACAAGTTCTTCTTTATCGACTGTTTATGTCTTAATATTTACAATACAACTAGAGAGCATTCTTAAACATAGGAAAATAAAAACTCATTTTGTTTTACTTTAATATTCATATAAATTTATCATATAAATTTGTTAAATTTAAAAAATTAAAACATTTTTAATAAAGAAAAAAAAAGATCATAATTTTGATTTACTGAAAATTATTTTCACAATATAATTTAGTATATTCAATCGTAAGACAATTTATAGTTTATTTTAATAAATTAATATATATATATGTATATATTTATATAAGAAAACTTACTTGTAGTATTTGTTAAATTTTCATTTTTTTACAATTAATATTATAATTTGGATATATTTAAAGTATTATATAATCGATTTCATAAAAAAATATTATAAACTTATCTTTAAATTAATATTTATTCAATTAATCAATTAAATTAATATAATTTAATAAACATGTGATTTAATCTATTTTTTTTTATTATAGTTTACTATATTTTTAAATATATTTATATAAAAATGAATATTGCATTAATATCAGAATATTTGGAAACATATCAAGGAAGAGATAAATTTTTAAAAACATTATCTTATATGGCAAAATTTGCCACATTAGGTGTATCTTCAAATGAAACAAATAAAAAATTAAAAATATTTAGTAATCAAATGAATGAATGTAGAATGATTTTAAGATTATTAAATGATATACCAATGATTCATTATGCTATGAAGTATGAATGGAAAAAAGAGGTATATATATTAAAATAAATAATATTTATAATATAAGAAATCATATTTGACAAATTTATGGTTCAATTTTTATTTATATATTTATGTAATATACAAATTTCTACTATTTTTCAACAGGTATATATAAATTTTATATCATCTAATAGGAATCAGATTGGTTGATAAGATATGCAGAGCTAACACAGATTTTAATAGACATCATATTTTGTCCAATAGAACATATTTTTTGGGCAGGTAAACATAAATTAATTAAAATCAATAACAAAATATGGGATAATGCTTCAACATGGCTTTGGATAATTTCTCTGCAATTATCATTATTAAAGTATGATAAAAAAAAAATATTAAATATTTTATTCTTCTTTGAACATTTTTATTGCATGTATGTTTTTAGGTCTTTGCGAAAAATTAAATTCAATAATTATAAAATTCATCTTAGTGAAATTAACTATAATACAAGGTAAATTTAAATATAAATACAAAAACATTTATAGTTTGATTAATAACATGTTATATTTTTTTTTCTGATTTGAATAGATTAACTTTGAAGACAATAAACAAACAAAAATGGAATGAATTATTGACTTGTATAAGATTAATATTAGATATAAGTTATGCAATTAGTTATTTGCCATCTGGTATATTATGGGCTGGGCAGTTAAAAACTTGGCATATTGGAGTACTTGGATCTTTATCATCTTTAATTGGTTTATATCAAACTTTCAACAAACAAGAAGAGCATAAAAATTTTTAATAATAATTAAAAAATGAATGAAAAATGATAGAAATTACAAAATATTATATATTAAAGAATAAAATATAGAATAGAATATTATATTATTAAATATAACTTTAAATATATTTCTTATTTATTTTAGTCAATTTATATAAGAAATATTATGTAATGAACATAAAATAAATTATAATTAAAAAAAAATCTTAATTATTTAATTTTTTTCATATCACTTAAAGTATAATTTTTCATATTACAAAGTACAATAATGTTAACATAATAAAGAACTATTTATTGTTTGTAATATATCAATTTTGTGTTACAAGGTATGTTTTAACAAAGATATATGTAATACGTAAAAAGCTAAAGCAATATAAATTATTGATTTTCTTTGATTTTTCTGTAAGAAAAAGCTTATTTGATTTTAAGCTAATTAGTGTACTTATATAAGTTTACTATTGATTGAATTGTTTTTACAAATTACTCAAGTTTCAATATCCATAAATTATAGATGTACATACGTTATATTATTAATAAAAGTGAAAGAATAGGAGGCACTTTTATGAACATAAAAAAAATATTTTGCTACCTAAGGTACGATGTAATCATTGCCTCGCGAGTGATTAAATCTCTTAAAAGTGATAAGAAAGCTTGACATTATGCGTACCAATAGCAGTCTTGTTTTTTTAATAATAGATCACCCTGTATCGCGTGGTTATCAATGATTTAAAAATAATTTGTGTTTTCCACGTTAGAATAAAATCTATGGAGATTATATTAAAAGGCACGACTTATTAAAAGTTTGTAAATAAGATAATATTTCCGATAAAAGAGCATCTTTAAAATTTCTGACGGCTTATTTTTTGGCCGTTAATTCGATAGTTTTTAGTCTAAGAGTTTTTGTCGTTCGTTTATTCAGAACCATTCTTAGGCATTAGCAAAAACTGATCGTTTGTTTACTAAAAACTTTATGATTATATTCGAAGCTTTTGTAGAATATAATATATATATTATATACTATCTTGTATGTTGTATTAAAGCACTTCATAGGAGTATTTTCTTATATATATAATAACCATGTTGTTTGATAATTGCATTTGATGTAACGCGATATTTTTTTTGTATTTGTTCCACTTTCTTAAACCAAGCGAAATTTTAATGACTTAGAAATATGAGAAATATGATAAATTCATCCTTGCCTTCAATATGTAAGTAATTCAAAGAGTATAGTAATATAACTTGCAGTTGATTATATGAATTTTAAATTATAAATCTTAATTAAGTTTATATTTCTACCTTGGAACATTTACCATTAACAACGTATGATCTACAATTACTTTTAATATAATATGAAATGAATCATAATTTCTATAGACAACAAAGACTAATTGTGAAATATACAATGTATTTCAATAATGTCTTTTTATACTATATCCGTTTTGAATTTTCTAAAAATTAGAAATTGCAACAGTTTATACTTTTAATATAACTTCAAATTTTTAGTTTCAAATTTCACAAATTTCAAATATTAAAATTTAATTTTATTTCTATTGATATTGATTATTATGATTTATGGTTTATTATAATTATTTTAACTTTTTATAATTTTTTTTCTCTCAATAATGAGGATATTCATAATTACTTAGCAGAATATGATAATCAACTATTAACCAAACAATAATTATATCAGTTTAAATAATATGCTATAATTTAAATTAATTTATAAATAAATAACAAAGTTAAACAAATTAAATATAAAATAATATTATAATGTAATATCATTTCTGCTATCAATTGATCTTTATCTTATGATTTTGTTTATATTATTTATCAAATTTTCATGATATAATAACATTTAATATCTAGCAGTTTGCATAAGCACACATTCTTAAGGCCAGGAGTTTGAAAAGGGCAGAAGGGTCATTTAGAGAAATTATTTTCTCAAACGATAAAGAAAAGGAACAAAATAATGAAACAAGAAAGGAGGAACGACAATGGAAGTCTATCTGCAAAAATATGATTTTTAATTCACTCAACAAAATGATATCAAAACATCAGAAACGCGATTAGAAGTAATATTACGAAATCTTGTTGAAAGAAAATACATAACATAATATCGTAACAAAAAATAAAAACAGAATCAATTTACTACAATCCGCTCCAGAATCGTAGACCATGTACTTCTCCATTTCGTCAACAGTTAAACAGTCCCTCTAAACGAAAGCTCACAAAGGCTTACCGCTTTGACTAAGAATATAAATTATGATTATAGTGGCCATTGGCAATACCCTTATACTGTACAATCTAACATAAAACTACAACGACGGGCAATATCATCGACAAATATCGATATATAGCCTGGGTTCTAATTAGTACTCAAATTAAATGCGTTTTTCGCAAAAAAAATAATAATAATTAAATTATTAATTCCTCCTGCCGCTAGAATACCACAATAATCTAATCTCATCGAATAGTTTACGATTAAGCGTAATATTTCGCCGATAGATTACTTTAGCGGCGTATTGTATTTTTGTGGTTTTTTTTTTTTTTTAATATTATAAGCTTAGTCCTCCTCTCTTTCTTTTTTATTTTTTTAAACAATCGAGTGGCTTCTCATTTTATCGTATAAAAATTATTGTCACTATAAAAGCCACAATTGGACCCACACGAATTCAATGTAAATGCACACTCGTAACGCATAATTATCATATAATGTGATGTGTTACTCAATGACACAATTATATTCTTCGGAATAAAACGATTAACAAGAG